ATTAGGATGCCTTCTGGACGCCTCCCTGGTGAGGTGTTCCGGACACGTCCCACCGGAAGGAGGCCCAGAGGAAGACCCAGGACACGCTGGAGGGACTATGTTTCTCGGCTGGCCTGGGAACGCCTCGGGATTCCCCCGGAAGAGCTGGCCCAAGTGGCTGGGGAGAGGGAAGTCTGGGCCTCCCTACTTAGGCTGCTACCCCCGCGACACGACCCCGGATAAGCGGAAGAAAATGGATGGATGGATGGATATATATATATATATATATATATATATATACAGTATTTGTCCAATAGCCTTCAATGCTCCAGATTTGATCTGTCACCTATAAAACGGGGTTATTCATATACATATATCTGTTCCCTCGTCAAAAATTATTTAAATTATTTTCAACTTAAACCATGTTTTGGTCAGTAAACCATAACACAAACACCACGATATGCACATTTTACAATTCTCTCCAAATTCACAGTGTCACATTAGATACAATTGTGTGGATAATTGACAAAAAAAGTGATAGAAGGCTTGCTGAATGTGTGTGTGTGCGTGTGTGTGTGTGGGGAGGGGGGGGGGGTGACGAGTGCCAGCTTTACCAGCTGGAACTAGTAAGAAGATTACAAGGACAAAGGATTTTCTCACAGAGGATAATCAACAGAAGACAAAGAGAGACCACCAGGGTCTCTGGGCAGTCGTTTTGTCATACAGCACAGTTCGGAGGATTTTCAGACTCACTCCAGCTGTAATAATACTGAACGGACCAGCTTCACCCAGAGCTCAGCCCAGTTCACTCCCTATCAATCTAATAAAGCAGCAGCTATTACATCATGACACTTTGGTGGGGTTTCCACACATAAGCCTCCCAAATTAAGAAACAGAATGCAATGTCACCAAACAAGATGGAAAATGTCCCAATCAAAAAGACATCATTGAAAGGAGAAATCACATCTGAGTATCTAATGTGTTTGGTGCAAACAGAATCTGCTAACGTCACAGTTAGAGGTAGACCAACGTATCAATGATAGAAACTTATTTTTGTCTCATCTGAGCCGATTAAAACGCAGGCACATCTGTGGGCAGCAGTCTGCTCTTACACTTGATAACACACCCTTTTGTCAGCGCACTTTCTACATAAAGGGTGATTTTCTAAGTTCAACACAAGCACAATCGATAAAAACGTTGATCAGAATATTGAAATAGCAACCAGGGGAATTGTAAGGCCTTAGTTCTACTCTTCCAAATTCTTAAAGATTTAATAGATTAAATGGAAACTTTTACTCTCAGAAAGAAAATGTGAATATTTTTACACTTGGACCTACTTTTATAGCGAGTCTAGAAGCACAAGAAAGAATGTGATCTGATCCACATCTAGCTTCAAGGTTAAATTGCTTAAACAGCCAGTTACTGTTTTATTTTTATGTTTTATGTTTCATAATCTATTAGACTTAATATAAAAGTGTTATAATGGTGTGGCAAAAACAAACAATTTTGTATATCAACCTTCGGCAACCCTGACTTCTAAAAAAAAAAAAAAAAAAAAAAACTCCAGTCAAAATGTTTCCTGTACATTTTTTTATTTTATTTAAAAATACCCAGGTCAACATAAGATCATTCACAAGCCCAGTTGTGAAATCACAAGGAAAGTCGTCTAATTACAGAAACTTGAGGAGCATAAAAGGCTGAAGAGGACTTTCAGCAGGCACTGGAGCATTACCTGCCAATGATAGTTCTGTTCTAGCCATTTATTTGTGAATTAAACTAAACTGTAGTCCCTCGTTTATCACGGGGGAGCTGTACCCTGAAGCCCCGCAATAAGTGAACAACCACGAAGTAGGATTAGTAGTACAAGTAGTAGTTTATTTTAGTATATACATATATTGAGGCATTTTAAACACTTCCCACATTCTTGCAATATTCTAAACAATGTTTCTAAACTCTAAACTCTCTAAAAGAGCACATATTTCAACTCTCTGTCTCCTGCTGCACTCTGCCACCTGCTAGCGCTCTTGGCCACGCCCACTTCTCCGCAGCAGAGCAGAGATATGAGGGAGTTTCTCCTGCAGCTGTGGGCTGCACACAGATGCAGCAGGTGCTAAATGATTTTAAATAATTTATTTTAAATAAAAATTCCATGCCGTTCGTGCGGCTCATCCATCAATCAGCCATTTGTGTGTCATGTCCAATGTTACTTAGGAAAGCCGCGATAGAGCGAGTCCGCGAAAAACGAACCGCGAAGTAGCGAGAAACTACCATATAATAATAAATTGTTTATTTCTTGGTGTTTTCATCCTTGATGTCCTCCTGTCCCCTGGATTCCTCACTGTGGACCTTGTCCTCTCCTATGCCTCCTCAGCTGCCTCTCTTGTCTGTCTCCTACCTGGAACCTTTGCCCTGATGCACACCTTCTTCACCCTGGAACCATTGGGTCAGTTCTCTCCACAAATGACCCCTACCTCTACCATAAGAAAGAGCAGCAACAACATTATCACCCTCAACCGACAGACAGCATCTCCTTGCTCGTCAGGGTTCCAGTTCCCTCCACAACTGATGATTTTCCACCTTTGTAAATAAACACTGTAAACTTATTTGAGTCTTGGTATCTGTTCTCTTCGGTCCTTGTATCTGGGTATAGCTGCAATCGTTACACATATACAAACACAAGAAGACTCCCAGCTTCATCGTTATGAGCCAAAGCAACATCAAAGGAGGATGAAGTATCTGAATAAGGACGTTTTAATGAGAACAGACAACATACTGAAGCCCTACAAGACCTGATGTGAATAGTAAGGCATTGTTGTCTTATTTTAGCTTTTATTGGCCCGAAAGAGGCAGAAAATCAAAGCTTGGAATTTCAATCAACATGGGTCAAAGAAAGCAATTAGGCACAGACTGTTCCAGTCTCCTGCGGGTAAAGATGTCTCCTTCTGCAACCAGACTCAGCATCACAACAAATCGATGTATTCTGCTGTATTCCTCTTCGTTATCTACAATAAAAACACAAATATTTACTATAAAAACATAAATACCTTATGCTTTTTCCTCAATGACCACATCTCTAGTTAAAAATGGAAATGACTGGGCTAGGGATGCACAATATTAGATTTTTGGCCGATATCGGATATGCCGATATGTTAAAACTTATTTGGCTGATAACTGATACCAATATCGATATTTTTCCCCCTACACCTACTTACAGAGACTATAACGCTTTCTCTGCTGTGGGATTAAAATACTACATTATTCTGCATGGTCTTTGTCAGTTTGGCCTGCTACCAAATGCAGTGGCTGAAAATGATGTAACACTTCAACTTGGATTATGTTTAATGTCACATTTATTCATGACATTTACTCTCTCTAACACGACAACACTCGAACAGTGCAAATTTGTAAATTTTCACAAATCTAAACTCAATCAGTTCACAAGCGACCAATGAAAAGTGCTCATGTAGTAGTGCATTAATAGATATACTTGACAGTTTCTTAAACTAAAAATTAACTTAAAACAGAAGCCTTTTCTATCGGTGAATTATTTTGATGGAATGGCCGAAGTCCGATATTTAATTTTATCACTAATATCGGCTGATACCGATACCATGCCGATAATATTGTGCATCCCTAGACTGGGCAAAGTTTATACTCCTATTCCAGCTGTACTCGACTGACTGCCGAGATGACAGCAATTCAGCATCTTCATCAAGGATGCCAGGAAAAGTAGACCTGCAGATATGTGTGTGTGTGAACAGATATGCTGTACAGCTCAAGCACGGTTGAGAAACACTGCTTTCACTGTGACGTTTTCCAGAAAACATGTAATAAACAAAAAAATCCTGATCTATTTGTGGAGATTTGATCCAGTTCCAGATGTTCCCGTGGGACTCTTTCCCTGGGTATCCGAGGTTTACAGAGGATGCTGGACGTCCAAAAGGTTCTGACTCTTGACTTTTTGTCTTTGGTGCTTCCACGGATTTGGAGTCAGACTCTCACGCTCTGTTAGTTTTCTCCAGGAGTCTGTGCAGCTAAGAATGAAACAGAAGATTGGAGTTTTGCATGAACATGCAGAGGTTAATCACAGTCTACCTCCAGCTGTGGCAGAAAAATACTCAACTCAGGTCATTCAGGGTCTCCCCACGCTCTGAAAGCATGAAATCACTGTTTGCATATTCTTGTGTTACAGTGCGCCGTATCAGCAGCTGCTGGTACTTTCCTTTCCCCATTCCAACCATGAATAACAGATTTACAAACGCTGATAAGACAGTGAAGAGCTCAGCTGCTTCTCATCCCACAAACTTACCTCAAATATCAAAGCTGAGACTTTTTATGGAAGATTACCGACAGAAAAGATGTGCAGTTAAACCAGTGGACTTTTCAGAAGTGCTGTTTGCTTATACAGTCAATAACACAACTCTAAACAAGTTCTAATGATTTTTACCTGTGTGTGTGTGTGTTTGTACATCAATGTTAGCAAAATTCTAATAAAACCCACTGAAAATGTAAATGATTATCTACAACTAATTAGCTTTCAGTCAACCTGATTCAAGATGGCTGTCGGTCCACACAGAAATGGCTACAACTCTGTCAGTTTTGCAGAAACTAAGAGCTAAAATGTGTCGTTTTAGTAGCTGAGTCGTTATTAACATACAACATGCTAGTAGATCATGTGAGATTTGGTGGTTTTGCACAACTTGTTCAAGATTTATCTGAAAAAGCTAAAGCTATGTTTCAACAGAGATTAGTTGAAAGCTAAAAGTGTGTCTTTAAACTTATTTTAACTTAAGCTTGAAATGTTATACATGTTTGATTAACTAATCATATTACAAATCTGAAAATTTGCCTCAAAGTTTTTTGACAAAAAAAAAGGCACGGTTTGTTCCGATTTCTTTGTTGAATGTATGAAGAAATGTTTTGTTTGGATCTAACTCTGGAGGGTTATACGCTTCGATTTTCATTCTGTCTTTTTAACAACTTAGCATCAGGCTTTTTGCAGTTTTATCATCTGTAAGTGAAGCTTTAGCAGCAACAAAATCAGGGTTCAACACACAAATTGTAAAAAAAAATGTAGAGACACCATAAAGTATGTTAACATACATTATTAATGAAGTGAAACCTGATTCTGAAATCTTTCTAGTCTGTTTCAAACAGGGCTTCTGCTCCTCGGGGGGGTTAGATCAGTAGAAATGTGGCTGGATGGTTGCCAGGTGGTCGAGCTTAAAGGATGCAGGAGTTCCTCCATCCATCATCCAGCGGTCTGAAAGCGTGCCCAGCTGTGATGCAGACAGGAGAGGGTCTGCACAGTCACAAGCTGGCTGCTCTGTTACTTTTACACCAAACGGTTCAAAGTATGGAGAGGATCATGTGACCACACGGATGTGTTCAGAAAACCATTAACAACTGTTTTTATTTGCGGGGATGAGGCGGTGGGGGTTGACTCTGCACTGCTTTAGAAGAACTCTTTGAATTTGACCGAACATTATAGTAAAAGATAAAAGGTCAGCGGACGGCTTGTTTTTCTGACGTATTTACAGTGTGTGCTGAAAAGATAAGAGTATTTTCAAGAACACAGGAATATGTCTGAGCAGATTAATGTGGTGCTGGTGTAGGAAATCTTTCAGTCATCCAATTGTTTGAGGAGTGAACCTTTCATGAAGTGGCTGTAAAATCTGTCCGGAAAGGAGTCGTTCCAAAAAGCTGGATTTTAAGTTTTGTTTGACTCCAAAACTGAAGTTTACTGTCTTTGAGCAAAATCCAACCGATTCTAATTTTAATCCAATGCTAACTGATGTTAGCAATCAGAAAAAAAAAAAAACGGTTGTAACTCAGAAGTTTTTCTAGAAACTGACCTCAAATTTGTCATGGTATTAGCCCGTGGTGCAGTCTTGTAGTGGGTACACTGGGCTTAGAAACCAAAGTACACCTGTTAGTACAATGTAATCGTTCATTTATTTTGATTTTTAAGCATATTGAACATTTCAAAATTTCTCTCATGCTTTTATTTGAAGAAATGTGCAACAAAGTTTGTACAACAGTTTGCTTTGTATTAAAAACATATAGAATGTATAAAACAGTATCAAAGTTCAAGTATTAAGTATTAATTATACACAAAACAGGTTGAACAAAGTTATTGTGTCTATAAAATGTTCCAAATGTGTTGACAATGGTACGAGCCCATGTCCTGTATCATTGCCAGCGTGGGCTCGTATCATTGGGCACTTTTAAGTAGGTATACTGAAATTCCCAAGCTTTTCTAGTGGGTGTACTCCGTACACCTGCGTATCACACACCACTGCTGTTAGCCAGGACATCCTCAACAGTGCTAACAAATCGTGCAAGGTTGGTGGGCAATATGCATTCCCACAAGGAATGCCATTTTCATTTGGAAATGGAGATTGTAAAACCAATTTGTGCAGAAAAAGTTGTTTTCTCAAATGTATTTTTAAAAAAAGAAACAAGTTATGTCTTCTTTAAGCCGATTCTCCTCAGTTGCAGTTGCACTGATAAATAAAAAATACATGGATGAGGTGACGAGCGCACCCCGAACCTCTTGTGTGTGTATCAACCTGTGTCACAAACCATAGTGGAACTCCCCCTTTTATCACCTCCTCCTCCAAGTTCAACCAGCCATATAAAAGATTCAGTAGTGAAAGGAACTCTTCAGGAAGCGACTTGTTACTGAATCACTTTAACGAGACACATTCAAAGCCGAAGAGTCACATGAGCAGAGAAGCTGCAGCTGTTTGCTGGAATAAAGCAACAAAACTCCATCTTTAATGAACAGAACCTTCACTCATGTCTCAGCTGGGACATTGTTGCAGCAGCATCAAGGTCAAACACATAGACTTGAATAAAGATGCTTTTTTTTTAACAATAAAACCTTTAGGACTTTTTGAAATGTGGTGGGTTTTTTTTAATAAACGCAGAGGTTTGAATAAATGTTTGTCATCCTCAGTAAGTTGCTCCTGCTCGTGCAGGATTAATGGTCCAGATTAAATCGCTGCAGTGTTTTATGTGTTCCCTGTGGGTGTGAGCCTCAGAGCTTTGAGGCACGTGCTCATTCTTTGGTGTTTTATGTGTTTATAAATGGTTTAAAGCAGCTTGTTATGAACTACAGGGTTCATTCCTTTGTTGGATGACAGGTCAGACAGGAGCAGCTGCGCTCTGGCCCGTCTCATCATCATCTTCATCCTCCTCCTCTAACATCTCTCTTTTATTACCTTCTCAAATCCGCGCTCCTCTCAGGTCTTTCTTCAATTCTCCCCAAACCAGGTCGGGACAAAGTAAATTCGAGTTATTGCAGCCGGGACCGAGCCGCCTCCTTCATCCTGACTTCCTCCATCCAGCGGTTCTGGTTCTGGTTCCGTCAAAGCCGCTCGAGCGTCGCTGATGGAGCGCACGCGGTCATGGTGGTCATGAAATAATCCGTCATGCCGCTGATAAGAAACAAAAAGGAGGGGAAAGTGAGATCCCGGAGTGTCCCGGAGAGACGGAGCCCCCGACTTCCCTAAACTTCCATCAACCCCCCACACAAAAACATGGCCGCCCCTGCGTGCGGGACTGGAGCCCCGCAGCTGGAGCCTCAGAAGCGTCTGGCGCGGCTGGTCTGGGGCCAGCCGGAGTCAAACAGGGACTGGTGGGAAATCTGATGAAAACAATATTAATATTAACAAAAGAAGAAATAATGGAGTAAAGGTGCAGACCGTCCCGTGGAGGATGGTTACATGTGTAAAATAAGAATAAACAAATAAATATAAGAAGAAAACTAGACTGAACCCATGTCATTTTAATTCACAGAATCGGAACTGTGTCGCCCTCTGCTGGTTGATTAATGTTACTGCAGCAAAGGAGCGATTTTCGTTTTAACACCTGAAAACCTCAGTGCACAACCTTGAGCACACTTTTTATAAGACACTGAAAACATTTGTCTGATTTAGAGACACAAATGTAACACTATGTCATCCCTCAATTTTTTAAAAAAAGGTAAAAATGTTCAACTTTATTGTGTTTCGTAAAAATTAAGAACACAAAGTATAGATCGAAACAGGTCTATGTAGAAGCACAAGCTTATTATAAGTTCACTTTGTTATACAAAAAACATCAAAGTCAAAGCAGCAGAATTTTTCCTATACAATTTTCTAAAACAAATCAAGGGATTCTGGCTAAATTAAAATATATATATATAATTTAAAGACTGAAAAACACAATTGCACATCCTCATAACAACTTTTCCACACATGAATCCCTCTAACTGACGTAGGCTACAATTGTTTTTAATATTTGTCCTAACTTTTTTTTTTTAAAATAAATCCTTTTCTCTTAAATCATAGTTTGTCTCTTTAATTTGAAACCACTTTTGTATACCCCTTGGAAGGAGTTTATTATAGGCTTTGTGCTGTTCTGGGCTCTACTAAGTAAAAAAAAAAAAAAAAAAAAAATTAAATACACAATGTAAAAAAATATGTCATTAGTTGGATGAAAATAATTCAGATAGCTTTCTTCTGGAGCATGTAGACCAGTTTTGTGTTGGTTTTATACCAGTTTCCCCAGATCTCAACACAACAATTATGGAAGTATGAAACAACAATATGTAAAGTGAATATTTTATTTAGGAGATGTTTAATTTTATTCAGTATTGCAATAGCTTTTGATATTTTTGGCTTTTACATTATCAATATGAGTCTTCCAATGCAATTTCTAATCAAGTATCACCCCCAAAAAATCTGATTTCATACACTCGCTTTATTTCAATACTTTTTATCATGAGTTTGACATTTTTTATTTTCCTGTGACTAAATATTACAAATTATCATTTTATCATAATTTAGTGAAAATTTATTTTTGTCACACCATTTCTTTAATACTTGTAATTCTCCTTCCATTGAACTGAGGACCTGCTCCAAACTATTACCAGAGCAATATAAAGTCAACATTTCAGGATTCTTTAGATTCTATCTGATGCTGTCCTTGGCCGACCTCGGCACCCCCCGAGAGTTTACAGATCTCTCCAGAGGGAACTGAGCGATTATACCACTCACATCGAAACTCTTACTGTGCCTCTGTGAGTGTCCTTGGACACACTCACCACCCTTACACGCCCCTCTGTGGAATGATGGCGTCACTATGTGCTTGTGTGCAAGTTTTTTTTTTTCATTTTCAGGCTATCTATCTTCAGCCAAAGATTGAGAGCCTGTTGCAAATAATTTTTGCCTCCAAAACCTATGTTGGCTCTTTCACCACTTTGATTGTCTGTCCAAGCAGGTCTCACTTGTAAGAGTCTTTGAGGCTCAATGTGATTTATCTGTATAAATAAAGGTTGAAATGAAAATTAAAAAAGGAGAATACTCAAGCATTACATGAAGGAACGTCTCAGTGCTCTGGCAGAGAAACTTGATTAAATTTAAAGAAAATTAGAAAGGCTATAAAACAAAAGGTTATTTCCAAAGACAGAGCTGTTAGAAATGTTTGGTTCAAAAGTAGATTTGGAAAATTATGTAATATTTTCATTAAATAGAATGCTGGATGGTGTCTGTATGGACTCATTTTTTACACAAAATAACATGCGAGTCTGAAAAAATCTTTTGAAAAACCAAGGGGGGTTTACGTATAAAAGCTGCATATGAACATAAAAGTTGTGTTTGACACACATCAAACGCATGAAAACGAACTTTGCATGAAACTGTATGAATACACGCACACATTTGACCTGCAGTGAAAACACAGTCACAGTATTGCTAGAAAAATGATTGCTTATAATGTTTTTGCTGCTGGAATGTGCATTTGCGTAATAATAGTTTTCTGTACGTTGTCACAGAGACTCCAGGGCAAGAAGGCAGTTTGACTCCAGTGCATCCTCTGCTCTGGGCCTCTTCCCCTGGTTTAATAGAAAGTACTGGCATTGCTTTTACTGTATACAAATGAGTTCATGTGAAAAGATCTAAGGGCAGGATGTGAGATGGACAGATTACCAGAAGACCTTACAGTAATTTAAACAAATGCAAAATGACTAGAAGAGCTCACGAGGAGCTTTTAAGATCAGACTTACCATGTAAGATGGAATAAAACCTGGCTCAGAGGAGGACCCTCTGAACATGATTTGAACTGTTCGCAAGAACAAAACGCTCGTAATTAAAATGGACTAAATCCTAAAATTTATTTAAAAATTTCCTAATTCACGCAAACTTTTTATATGTACAGTACTAAATTATAAAGTACTGAAGCCCGTCTAAATATATCAAAATATGAATCCATGCAATTTTCTATTCTTAGGGGACATTTTAACACATTGTTTTCTCTACAGTTTAACCATTTTTGGTTTAAACGCGAACAATGAACTGAACCACGCTTTAAAAATGATCAAAACAACCTCAAGCCATTGGAAACTGTAAAGTTTAACATTAACAGTCATGTGTAGATGTAAACACGCATTAGAGACCACACGCCTGTGGGACATGTGAATTATCTAAGCAGCACTTTATTCTTACGAGAACAGTGTCAGATCGGCCTACACGGATCATGAGGAAAATAAAAAAAAGAAGCAGAAAGTGTTTTCGGTTTGGCCGCTGTGAGCGTCTATGGTGTGCACGTAGAGACCCCAGCCCCAGCAGAATCCTCACAGAGTCAACCTCGATGATTACAGGAGGGGTACGGCAAGCCAAAGGTGGCAAAAATCACCACACGTTTGGCACGCAAATAACATAGTTTCACAAATAAAGACGTTGTAAAATATAGCAAATTGGCACTTTTACCATAAATGTTTTATAAGCCAGAACACCGTATTGTTTGTGCCATTTTAAGACCACCTTCTGATCAGCGGAAAAAAAATATTTTTTTCTGGTTATTGAACGCTGCTTTTATATCATATGACTGTCAATAACCACTTCATAACATCTATGCCATTTAAAATGTTGTTTTCCTAAATAATGCAGGGCCCTGCCCATACTTTTTTCATCTACTTAATTTAAATTCCTCCAATAAGAGAAATAGAAATGCAGACTACACTAATTCATAACAGAATCGTCTGTGCTGCAAATAGATCCGATATTTTTTCTCATATTTCATATTTTCTGCAGCACTCAGTGTCAGTCTTTGCTTCTGTATCGATCCCATTATTCATTTTGATGTTTAACACTCCAATAAATCAAACAAAACACATGTTACTTTTGTCTGACACAAGAGAAGACCTACATTTTTATTACAATACAGTTCTACTGTTTGTAAATATATTCCACTGTTAATAATAGCCTTGAAAGGTCAGTGTACCTTTCGTTCAATTGTTTTTTCACTGAGAATCAATAATCAAAAAAATGAAGAATTACTTGTCATTTCATTATTCCTTTCTATGTGGGATTCAAAAAATACAATACATCATTATTTTCTGCATTTTTTACTTTAACCTCACATCAAAAATCACGTACCAAATCCAAATCTAGAATCCAACATGGCCGTGTTAGCTAAAAAGGAAAAAATACAATAACTCAGCCATTTTTTGAGCTATTCAATTGGAACTTGGATTAGTGGTAGCTGAGAGAGAATCCAAACACACAGTACTGTCAAATCAAATGCTTACATTGGAAGCAGCCTGGCAGTCCCTGTCAAAGTTTCTCCAGGAACTTTCTAGTTGTATGTTCCCATACAATGATGAAATTACTTCTCTGCATTTAACCCATCTTGTGTGAGATACATCCAGGTGGAGCAGTGGGCAGTTAGGGATTAGGTGTCTTGCTCAAGGACACCATGGCATTTGGGCATGGCAGGGAGTTGAACTGCAACTTTCTGGTCTCGATTCGGCTGCGCTACCTCTACACCATCTCGGCCCCCACACTAGAGATGCCATTTCTAACTCGGGCCCGAAGCCGGCCCTGCCCAACCCGAATTTGGGCTGGGCCGGGCCATGATTTTTTGGATGGGCGGGCCAGATCAGTGTCTGGCTTTTGATTGCATGAGCGAATCACCCACGATCCAATTATATGGCAACATGGCTTGCCATAAAATCCAATTAGATGGCAACATGACTTGCTATACAATCACCGTGAGCTGACCGGACTTGAAAGAGGTAAAATAAAGTTCAGTTAAGCTTCAGTTGGGACTGCCGACACTACCAGGAAGCGATACATCATCTAAATGGATGTTCAGCTGCTTCACTCAGCGGACGCATGCAGCCGATGACCTAAACTCGTGAGATCCCAAAGCCGACATGTCAGAGCAGGGCCCGTGTCTGGATAATGCAGAATGCAGGCAGAAGCAAGGATTTGATGCACTTTAACGGTCATGAAAGGACAAACACCCCCTCAACTCCAAACTTCTGCCCCTTTTATTCAGCTGTGCACGTCTGCGATCATTAATAACTCTAGAAGCAGTCAAAGCTTAATTAAAAATGATGGGGGGGTTACGGGTTTGGATCTGTATTTACTGTTGATTCATCGGGTTGGGTGGGGTTCGGAAATGACAGCCACGGGCTGGGGAAAGGTCAGATCAGATTTTTTGGGCCTGAATGCAACTCTACATGAAATGTTCACCCATTTTTGGCCCGGGTGGCTTTCCATACAACTCCTGCTCCAGAGTCTCGTTAGGAGGGACTCCGG